AGTTAATAAAAGGTAATTTTCATTACCCTGTAAATAAAAAACAACAACTAAATAAAAGTTTCTCTTTCACGTGGTACCCAAATCGTTATTTAAGTTTAAACTGAATTTTTGAAATTATGTTATGAATTAATTTCAAAGACGTTTTGAAAAATCCCAACATCACACGATGTCCCTATAAAATGTGGGCTAAAATAGAATTATGGACCGATTTAAATAAAAATTTATTTGTTCATGAATTTGAGAACGCTGAATTCTAGAGTTAATTTTTTTTAACTTTCATATTTTTTACAGTATTATATTCTGGACATCGGTCACTAGGTCGCCATTGTTGTTCTTACAGGAGTTCCCCTAGTCTTGAAACCTCCCGTAAGTCGCCTAACCCACTGGTAAAATTTTCAGATGTTTTTCCTATCGGCCAGCATCTCAAGCTCTTCGCACACACGTATTTCGGCCTCTCTCTCGTCTCGCTTCCTTCTTCCGAAGAAGCAATGCAACTTCTTTTAGTTTCCTTTAATTGAATTTTATTTAATGTAATTTTTAACATAAAACCATTAGTATTTACTATATGTTTTTTTTTTTTTGCATTTAACCCACTTCCCACCTACAGGTCTATTCTAACAATTTGGTTACAATAACTTGTCACCTTAAATTTGTTACAATTTTGTAACCAATACTTGTACCGGGTATTCTAGCAACTTCGTAACAAGGAAAAGTTCACCTTGTGGTGAAAGCGAAATTATTGGCAGCACTGTTCACAGCTGATTACTAAAATAATGAAATTGACAGATGAAAAATGGAAACGCAACAGCGAGAAAAGTAAGTGTATTTTAACTTATTTAGCCATTTATGCAAATAACTAAATTTATTAAATGTGTTTCTTGCAGAAAATTTCAGCGGACAACGCAGGAACAACTGCAATGCTATATTGCATATATAAAAAAGAATCCAGAGCTGGTGACTGGAAAAAATACGCCTGCGCAGCCACGACAGGTGCAAGATCTGTGGGAGGAACTAGCCAACAATTTGAATGCGCTGAACGGGCCCACACGTACCCCAATTAAGTGGAAGGAGGTAAGTAGCAACATGCATTTATTTAGCAAAAAAGCTTTACTTTGTATTTCTTTTTGCAGTCACTGGCAAACTGGAAAAAACAATTGCGTAGTCGGGCGAGAAGGCTCAAAGCGGACCAAATGGGCACAGGAGGCGGGCCAAAGCCTGCTGATTTGGGTGATTTTGACAGCCAAGCACTTGAGGCCATGGGAATGATGGCAGTGGATGGGATTCCTGCTCAGGAGCTGGGATTCCAGGCAAGAATAGATCCTATTTTTAATGAAAACGTTCATAAGAGTATTAATATAATTTTTTTTTTATATATCTATTATAGGATACTGTATGCTCCACTGCACATGACGTAGTCTCAACTTTGCGAGTTACGGTAGATGAACCCTGCAGTCCACCCGTTCATACGAGTATTAATGTTTTTTTTAATATTATAGGATACTGTATGCTCCACTGAACATGAGGAAGTCTCAGCTTTGCAAGTTACGGTAGAAGAACCCTGCAGTCCACCCGTCAGCAATAGTCCACTCTGCAGAACCAATATTTTTTCTCGCAGCGATATTTCTTCTTCCAACTCACCCATTGAGGCAACACCATCCAGAACAAACAACAAAAGAGGAGGATCACAGGAACTCGTAGATGTTGTGTTAAAACATATTAGAAAGCGAGAAGAGTACGATGGCCGTATGCTTGAGCAGCAAACAAGAACTAATGATGCTCTAGCTAAACTAGGAGAAGGATTTTTAGCTCTTGCTGAAGCTATGAAAAAGCCTTAATATAATCATTTATTGTATTGTATTGCTGATTTCGCTCAGCCGGCTTTAAGCACACTAATTTTTTTTGCTGTACTGGCGTTTTTTAACTTATAAAAAGACTGAGTTTATTATTTCTTTTATTGTTTAAGTATATTTAATTTGCTACATGCTTATATAATGTACATATCTATCGATGTGTGTATGCACATATGTACACTAACATATACACCAATGATGGGCAAAACGCTACTCGCGAGTAGCGTCTGCGTCGCAGCGCTTATACGTATACAGAAACGACGCAGCGAATTTCAATTCAGTCTGCTTTCAGTTTTCATGAGAGTGACAGCACGCTTCGCTGTTGAATATTTTTATTCGTAATTTCAGCGCGTTGTTGCCACCTATATATGTAACAATGCCCAAAATGGCTGCGTATGAGTGCCAATTACAATTTTCGGTTTTAAGAAAAGCCAATAATGCCCAATGCTTGTTATGTGGTAATACGACTACTTGGAATCGTTCTTTTAATATAAGGCGACATTATTTGTCATGGTAAAAAAGTCAAACTGCCGAACTGTGTATACCAATTTAAAGTTTTTTGTAATGGGTTTTATGTATATATGTATGTACGATACGGCAATTTAATATATTTAGTATACTTTATTGAATACTGAGTTTTTTACAAAGTTTAGAAATTTTAAATTCGTGAATTTTGTTGTTGAATAAACTATCATTTTTTAAAACATTAGTTTAATGAAATTAAATTAAAAAACTTTTCATGCACGTACATATGTACTTATAAAAATTAATTTCATAATTCATTATTTGAAATTATTTCTTCATTATTTTTTTATTATATTTTATTATTTTCGTTTCATGTTCATAATACAAATTAAATATAAATTTGTAAGAGCGTTTTCTAACACGCGCAAAAAACGACGCACTTTTGTACAATATAGAAAAGTGGCAACTGTTACTCAGCGCGATTCACGAATACCATGACAAAATGAGACTGTATTGGTGTGCCCATCTATGATATACACATATGCACATATTTGAATGAATTTGCAGGAGATTATTTTGTTACATGGTCATGCTAATATAGCTTTGAAGTAAAGCAAATGCTGTTTTATTTGAATTATGCTTTCATAACTGAAATGGAAAAAGTCGTGAATAAATTATTTTATTTTTTTCATTAAATGATGTGGGAGTTGTAATTCGATGAAATCCATCATATGCAGAACCGCGTATGTGAAGTTTTAGAAATCATTTTCTAGAGTGTAAAAACGCCCATATTTCAAAATGGTTCTCTTTTTTATAAAGAAATCGCACTTCTGGCTAGTATATTTCAGGACAAATGGATAAGGATTGAGCCAAGAGCTTGTGTGAGCAAATCCAATTTTTGGCAGCCAATGTCAGTTACGCGGTTTTGCAGAATGACGCTGTTTTGTACTTTAAACGACGATATGTAACTATGAAATTTTTACACAACATGGAAGAAGTAGCTGCAATTTCTAGGTACTTAACTCAATATTTGCAATTTTTGGATTATGACGCTATTGAAATAAATGAGCGATATGTATTTACATACATATGTATGTATGCACTTCGTATGGAAAAAATTACTGACATCGTTAACAAAAAATTTTTTAGAAAATCAACGCGATTCATTAGCAACTTTAAACTTGCATTTTGTTATACTAAAATCTAATGGGCTATAAAACTGCATACTTAGATTTTTTCCAGAAAATCTGATAGGAAGTTGGAAATGGTTATGCGATATTTTGGATTTTCCTAAGTTTTGCAGAAAGTTTAGAGATTATATCTTTATGTTTTTTGTTGTAGTATTAACTATATTTTTATAAAAAATTAGTGGAAAGAAATTAGAATAATAACCATTGCGAAAAATTGTCTGTACAAATACTTTTGTCCGGTACCGTAAGCTAGTTCACTAATAAAGCAACAATGCCCCGTGGTAGATAATTTCGTTTTAAAGCGTTTGAATGTATCGAGAACGTATTATCTGACCTTCACGATAATACTGACTTCGAATAACGTTTGCTGGTGTGGATGGAGTATCGAATTCTGCCTCATTAGTCTCGATAAAAGTAAGCGGACATTTCTTTAATGCAATATTATGCAAAATTACGCACGCATTTATAATGTTGACTGCTCTTTCATGACTGTAGTGCAAAGCTCGATGCTTCGAAAGGCACCTAAATCGCGATTTTAGCACCCCGAAAGCTCTCTCAACTACATTGCGAGCTTTGGCATGTAACTTATTGTACCTTTCCTCTTGTGTACTGGATGGCTCTGGAATTGGAGTTAGAAGCCAAGGCTCCAGGGGATATCCTTGGTCTCCCAAAAGCCAGCTACCACTTTGTCTCATCATGAACAAGCGTACTGCCGATGTTGTCCAAATTCCGGAATCATGGCATGAGCCCGGAAATCTAGCGTTCACTGCTAAAAATTTTAGGCTATGATCACAAACGGCTTCCACATTTATGCTATAAAATCCTTTTCTATTCATGTAGAGGCTGCTTGGCTTTGAAGGATCAATCGACGAAGGAGCAATAATTGCAATGTGGGTGCAATCGATCGCGCCTATTGTACTTTTTACGCCGAAAGACACGTAAAAGCTGTAAAAATATTATAAATAGAGGCGTGTATTAAATTACAACTAAATACTTTTCCATTGAACTGTATACCCCGTTTTGATGGTCAATTGTTCTTCATTTGTTTTGGGAAAATTTACTTCGTTTAGTTTTCTGTTAACAATAATAGCTGATATGTGCTGAAGTGATCGCGACACTGACGGCTGGCTCATTGAAGCCACAAAATTGTTTCCAACGCATTTTTGGTATGATCCATTGGCGAAGAAATAAAGGGAAGCAAAAAAGCGTAGGCCAAATGGAAGCGATGTCTTCTGATCATCAAATGGCATGAGCTCTTCAATAAGCTCATTACACACCGCTTTAGACAGGCGAAAATATTGTACGAAAACTGTTTCAGACATGGAGAATGGGTCACTGCTGTCCCGCAGGCTTCTGAGCAGCCGTTTCCTTTCCAACACTTCTTCCTGCTCCATTTGCATAGCACAAAGAACTAAAAGTGCTTCTTCCATTCTTTGCTTAAAAGTTTAATTGGCGACTTCAATAAGCAAACTTTATTAATTTTATAATTTTAATTATCTTTGATTCGCACAACTCGAAATATGTACACATGAAAACAGCTGTAACGAGCTTGTTACCTCCTAATTGGCAGGTAACAATTTTTGTAACTTTTGTCACGGTATCAAGAATTCAGAATACCGATATTTTGAATTTGTAACCAAAGTGGTCAATTGTAACCGTGGTGACTGTTGTACCGACATCAGAATAGCCTGGTTAAACTGAAAGTCATTTATCCGAATATGTAGTAAAAAATTGTGTATAATTAAAAAAAAAATGGACTTGCGGTTAGTTTAACCTACTTCCGGTCGAAATGGGTAGTCGATATTACCAACAAAAGATGGAGCGTGCCGGATTTGGGTTTTCAATGAAAAACATTTCCCTCCATTTTAGAGTGGATGGTCGGGTGGTCTAGGACACCCTGTATATGTATGTACATATGTATATGGAAATAAAAAGCCTCAAACTAAAATTTTTGTTGCACGGTGTTATTTAAGAACTCGCATACATACATACATATGTATGCATATGCACAAGGTTATAAATTCAAGCATATTCAATCACACATAGCACCCACTTCCGGTCGCGTCTAACGAACAAACGAGCGAGCGAACAACAGTTAGCGGGCTCAGATTACTGAAAATAGGCAAGAAATCATTTTGCTTGCAGCAGCAGTGGGGTAGTATTGCAAGGCGCACCTAAGTATGTATATATCCTGCTCCTCCTGCCGCTCCCACTCAACTTGATATTCTGATGAAGAGATAATATTGTGATCACGTTCGCAGCGATGAAAATGACTAAAAACGACAACGATGAGAACAATAATGCAGACTATTGAAATGCCAGCAGCGTTGCCAGCCTAACTGTCAGTTTAGCTTAGCTGGGAAGTGTAGCTATGCAGCTGTCATGTTTGTGAATGTAGGAGCATGAGTGTGCATGCTGGAGTAACACGTACACGCTCACTGCTAGTTACGAAGAACTCTCCCCATTCATTAATCAAAAACTAAAAAATGGTTCAACACCAAATTTCTGCTTGCCCGGTTAGGCATGGTATGGTTGGTTACCACTTATGCATTTACATAAGTATGTACATATATGTACAAATATACATAGTGTAATGTATGTATGTATGTATAGTATGCATATGTATATTAACAATCACTTGATGTTTTAAGATATCTTTGCACACAATCTATTTAACATAAAGCAAAAATGAAAAAGAAAATTTGATGGTTTTATGCCCTGCGTTGTTTACCAATACCAAAGTCAAAGCTAGAAATATATGAATTTTTTTAGGGTTTTTGGGGGACCTATAAAAAGTATTTAATATTAAATAATGGTTAAATAAAAAATTTGGTATCGTTGTCGAAAGTCTTCTAAAGAGAAGCAGAGTTTTTCGATCGCCAAATATTGATTTTCAAGAATTCCATACCATTTCTACGAAAAACTGTTTTTTCCTTATATAAAACTGCATAACAGTATTTCTGATGATTAGGTTTTGTTATATGATACTAGACTAATTTTTAAAGATGATTTAAAATCTGTGATTGGAAGTTCTGTACCAGCTCTGGTTTGGAAAAGAGCGCAAATGGGTATTTTCACAATAAAAAACAATATATTTATAGTTGATCTCATTTTATTAAGATCTTAAGTTGAAAAAAGCTTTACAATAAGACTTTCTTGCAGAAGTTGAAGACAGAAGCTGTCTCTGATGGCAACGTTCGTAACGCAGAACATGCCCATCTTTGTACAAACCACATCTTACCACATACTGACTATTGATTTAAAAACTTGATTAAAGGATTTTTTTTTTCTGAAAAAAAAAAAACATCGTAACTCATAAATGGAGTAATATGCTAATTAGTTTTCATTGCATTTCTCTTGAAGTTTTTTTTAGTTTAGGTCTACCTGGAGGGCATCTACTTACACAAATGGATGTGAATATTTACATATGCACGTAGGCAGTTACCCATGGCAGCGTTGAGCTGATGTCGAGCGATATCCGAATACGACAATAAAAAAAGAAAAGGTAACTTAGTCATTACCCAAAGTTGTAATTAATTAATGTTCTATGGTTTGCGTGTGGTACCGATTTCATTAATTAGGCTACGGATACGCTTGATGAAAGATATCCTGATAAGGATCCAAACGACATGTACATACATATGTATGTGTTTGTGTGCTTGCGAGTGCGTGCTTTGTGAAAATGATGAATGTACATGCATAAGGTAAATGTATGTATGTATGTATGCAAGTAAGTAAATTGAAATTGTTGAAGTGAAATTTCTTTAGTGGGGGGAGTGAATGAAAATATGGCAACATAAATTATGTGACACTTGCGACGCAACGGAAGTGCTTCCATTTTCCCTTTCTCTATTTCTGCCTTCAATAATATTGAGTTATAGAAATATGCTAAGCAGAGGTAGAGAGAGAGAGGGAGAGAGAGGAATACGGATACAGATACGAAGGTGAATACCAAGTCGAGTGCGAGCACGAGTAAGACGACGAATGCGAAGGCGAAAACGAACACAAACACGAATGCGAACATACAGAGAATACAGACACGAATACAAAGACGATGATGAAAACTATGACAAATCCGAAGACGAATACGAATACAAAGACCAAGGGAAAAACCAACACGAACACAAGTAAGACCAGTAAAATGATTATGAAGACGAATACGAATATGAAAACTAAAACGAAGTCGAACACGAAAACGAAGACTAGAATACGAGAGCGAACAAGAGAGGTATACGCGGTCGGATAGAAAGAAATGAAAAAAAAAATCAAGTTACTTATGAAGAAAATCGATGGATAAATAGAAATAATAAGTGGTCAAATAAAAATGCACTAAGATCTTTTGTATGAAATATGAGCAGCAAAGAGTGTAACAGAGGTTTACGTGGCGTATGAGTAACATTCTTTCCTGCTCACTTTTCATACATTATTTATCCATCGATTTTCTTAATTGGTAATTTGATTTATTTTTTTTTTTGTAACAGAACAGGCTTTAGCACAAGTGCAAAAATTTGGCACAGAACCTCTTATTTTTTTAATGTTTCCTCTGTTAAAAAATAAAAAATCTGGAACGATTAATTAACTTGTCAGAAACTCTCAGTTCTATGGGAAAGTGATGTATATATGGAATATGAACAATTTTATTGGCTTTGATTTGACGTACCTCCTTTTAAGATTATTAAATTGGTTCGTAAGATATAGGTAATTAAGTGGAACCACATTTTGTTTTAAGCTGAATAACGGTTAATTGAAAATATCTCGAAAACGTATTCATAGAAATAAAAATTAATTCGATTTTGGGAATCAACGACCAATTCTACAAACGAATTGGATAGTGGCATTCATAGAAAATGTTTGCTGTAAACCAGTGAAATAAATTTTTTTTAAGTCAACTTGGCGAAATATTTTAAGTTGTAAATAAAAGTCATTTCCTAAAAATAAACAAACCGCTTATCCGAATTTGGTATCCAATGAAAGAGGACGGAAATAGCTTTTAAACAAAAATAAGGAACAAAGTTTACCACCTCTATTTATATATTCTTATAGATTAATACAAAAGAAATGCATATACCTGACCCAAGGTTTGTTTTATGGTAATTAAGTAAGATTTTTTATTGAAATATTTTCCAATAGGTGGCTTTCCTCGGTTAGACAGTTCAGCTTTAAAACTATATTAGTCGTCTTTCATTTGATAACAAATCTGTTATCAGGAAATGACCATTATTTCAAATTTAAAAAATATTTGGCCAAGTTGACTTAAAAAAAAAAATAACTATTATTTTCGGTCACTGTTAAAAGTACATAAAAAATATGGCGCTGCAGCGAGATTTCTATTGAAAGACACTTACAAAACCAATTTTTGTATTAAAATCCTGAATGCGTAATTTACTTAGAGAGTTTGATAATGTTTTGTAATTCCTTTATGAATTGGGCAAATTTATCATTGATATCCAAATCAAAAAAAAAACCTATGTGAAGAGCCTTTAAAGATTACTCCCTCTTCGAATAGCAAAATATCATACAAAACACTCAACACGGAAATTTTCAAGAATAAAAAACATTGAATAGAATATTTCCTCTTTCGTTAATCAGGTATGCGAAACTTAACTTCTTCCAAAAATTATGTTATTTTTTTAGTATCTTCTGATTAAAATACTGCTTCGTATTTTCTAGCACAACGAGATTTATTTTCATTGATAACACCGTGCGACACTAAATTTTTTCACACATTTTTATATATTCGCGAAACCATGGGCCAAATATAGTAACATTTTGTTTTAGTTTTTTCTCTCTGACGTCAGGATTTTTTTAAAGGACTTTAAAATTTTAAAAATATAATTACTTTAAAAATCATAAAAAATAGTGCAATGTAGAATAACAGTAAGCTTATCAAATTAAAGAGAAAATTGTATAGAATTAAGGCCGATAAAATTTGTTGGTGCATACGAACCATTAGATATTGAAAAGTCCTTTTAACATTTTATCATGGAATGACCTTGAAAATTTACAATAACTATTTTCGAAAAAATTATGTTAAGGACTAATATGCACTCGACTACATCCTCGAATTTCGTCCTTCTAACTTTATTCGCTTAAAAAAAAATAAAACTAATTAAAGGACTTTTTTAATACCTATTTTTTCTTGTGAACCAAACACTTTTAATGGGTTTTACTGTTTTTCTACATTGTAATAGTTTTTTTTAATAATTTGTGTTAATAATTATATCTTTGACAGTACTACAAAGTCCTTCTAAAAAAATTCTGACCGTCTGAGAGAAACACTAAAAACGCAGTTAGTTTTATTATAATTTGCTCATAGTTTCGTGAGTATATTGATTGCTTCATGTGTTTAAATTTTTTTTTTGTTTTTGTCGCATGGTATAGTATGCATTTTAACAAACTTAAATTAAAATTATTCTTAAAAAAACAGTAGTAAATCAGAAATACTTATGGAAACTCGAAGTTAACGCCATTAGTACGCAGTAACATTAAGAGTGAAACAATAAATTATTCGTAACATTTATGTTATTGTTGTAAAATTTGTATGAAAATTTGTATGGGAGGTGCCACGCCCCTATTATCTTTTCATTGTATTATAATTTTTAGTTGGCGGCTCCCAAGACCAGCGGTTTTAAACAAGCAGCAAACACATCTGTTAAGTAAAATAATAGAATTATTTTAAAATTTTAATTTCTTTATTTCATTGTAAATTTTCGAAAGTAGTATTGTGCATTATAATTTGTTAAGATCTTCTAAATCTTTTTTTTAACGCAAATAAATACAATGCTAGATACAAAGATGTATTCATATTTGCATCTAATTGTTAAAAGTAAGTAAATTAAAGTGTTTTACAATTTAAATATTCGTATTTGCCTAGCTAAAGTTTTGTAATTTGGTTTAGAAAGTTGCTAGAAAATTTAAATTTTGTCAGCATAAATCACTGCTTTGTTTTTTTGTATTTATAATTTTTTTCATTTCATTATTATTTAAGATTAATTGCTTGTAAGCAAAAAAATAAAACAAAAATTGTACTGGCTACACAGCGGTGAATATCGTGCAGCATTTTGTGTTTTTTTTTACATTTATTTATGGCAGCTACTATTCTTCACGATCTCCTTGTTAGCGTTTTGTTGCATTTAAAGTTTGTAAGCACGCCGCATCACCAAATCGAAGTAGGCATCATTATCAATTGAAGCGCTGATTGTGGCATAGTAATTAACAAATTCTTCTTTCGTCACCTTGCCATCGCGATTGCCGCTTCCACCCTCGAAATTATTAAGGAACTGTGTAAGTATCTCATTCTCCGTCATTTCACCACTAAGATACTTGGGATGATCCTTCACAGAATATACTGTCTTCAAGTCTTCAATTGTGATTTCGCCATCACCAGTGCGGTCGATTTTCTTAAATGCCTTATCGATGATATCCAAACGGGACTGGGATATGGATGGCTAGCCGTGTAGGAATGTAATGTACAAAAATAAATGAAAGTAAGGCAAGGCAAGGATTGGCCAGAGCCAATATGCACATAGAACATTTGTTAATGTATATATACTCGTCGTTAGTGCTATAACTACAAATTTAAATGAAAACAAAAATCTAAAATCGTTTTTCGTATATTTTTTTTTTGCGAAAATTCGCTTTCGCTATGTTAGCGTTTCAAAAGAAAATCCAATTTTATTATGCTTACCCGCAATTTCAGCAAAAATTCGGTCATATTTATTGAACCGCTGTTATCTTCATCGAATCTGCAAAAAGATAAAGCGTATAATAGAAAGGGAGACTCGTTTAGAAATAAGTGAGAAATAAAAATTTTAGCAATCAAAATCAGGCAAGCGTTTGATGAATTCTTTACTCGCAGCTTTTTGTGCATCAGTCTGCATATTTTGCACACATTTTACACTATGTATCAACAAATAAAATGGCTTTTGAATATTTTTCTTTACGAGGGTCACTAAGCAAGTCCTTAGAACTCGTAAAACTAATGCCATGTATTTGCTCCCCGATGAACGTCGAGAATGTCGTCCAATATCGGTTTGTATGCCAGAGAACATCAACATGTGACATATCGCTCTAAGACAGAGAGGAAATGTTGCTAAGTCCACTTTTTATGAAAACTCATATTTTGAAGCAAGAGAAATTAGAAATGCGTCGTTTCGAAAATGATAAAGTTATTTGCTATATTTATTTATTTTGCGTTTATATTCAATTAATTAGGTAAATTTGAAGAATATCTTGGAAATCAATTAATTTGTTCTTTTTTCTTACATTTTCTAAGGACATCTGACCCGCGACCCGTGTAGCTTTCACAGTGGTGATAAGAGTAGCCTAACTTACAAAATATTAATTGTTATTATACAAACTATCATATAATGTATCTTTTATTAAAAGCAAAGATAAACATTAGTATGCATATGCTTTATTTTTACTTACTTGGCAAACATATCCTTAATCTCGTTTTCCGTGCACTCCAGACCAGTTTCTTTTATGCCCTTACTGAACTCCTCGTAATTCAAAGCTTTGCTGTCATCATCATCCATATTGCGGAAAGTCCTAAAAGGAAAAAGCGCAATGTTGAAAGGTGAAAGTTATGCCAAATATACATATGTGCATATATCTGTAGTCAGTAGGTGACTGTATTAGCAGTCTACAGAAAAATCAACTCTCACTGGTGTAGTGTACCTCTCTTAGGGTATCGAAGAATTTTTATATTTCCGAACGTACATTTACTACTTACGCAAGGATCGGCAAGTTCTCGATTTAAGGGAATTTCCTCTACAATTTAATCTTTTGCTGTTCGTTTTTGTTCGTTCAGCATCTGCTATTTCTGTAGGCGAGGGCCAGCCTTTTGGCGCATGTGCTAATCGCTAATACCAAGTGAGAACAACTGATATCCCTGCTATGCCAAACCTGGGTTTATTATTTTTTTTTTTAAGATCCTGCATGCTCTTTGGGGATGTTCATTCATATATAGTACTAGATTACTATTGATAACTAAAAAAAAAGTGTTTTTCAGGAGACTCATTTGGAGTTTTTACACAATATAGTGATCAGTTCTGCTACAAAATTTACTTTTTTGAATTATAATTCCTTTAGTAAATGGACGATGTATTATTATATGCGCTGCATAAATTTGACTAGACGATAGCCTGACACGATGCGTCCGCCATGAAAATATTTAAGAAAATTCAAGGGATGTCGCTAGAAGACCTTGGCTAACAACATAAGCAACATCATTTTCGGAAATGTTGCAATTAACAGAGATCAAAAATTACTACTGACTTTATTATTGTTTAATTTCTGCACTCCTTACTCATTAACAATTTTGTTTTAAAGAACGTCAGATCGATGAAAGCCTGCCTGGCTGTTTGAGAAACTGGACACAAGTTTACGACATCTACTATGCTTTAAAAGCCTGACTGACTTCATCCATACCAACAATGGAGAAGGCCCGCGAATGGCATGTGGAGTTCAATTTTTATAGATATACTCGGTGCTGTGACTTATGTATCTTAGACGGCATTACAGCAGATACTGAAGCGTTAAATAATACGTAAAGGTCTATAAGAAATAGGTTTTTCTAATATGAAAGTTTCACATTGAACATTAGACCTCCAAAGTACTGGCGGTATTCTTTAAAAAACTACGGTTCCGTTACCAAGTTGTGTTCTCTGGATCTTAACTACTTCCAGTCTCAGACTGCAGATAACTTGCTAGACTTTTGACAGGCCAATTCTCGTTGCAAAAACACCTTGCATTGATCGGCATAGATGACAACCCAATTTCTTTGATTTTTGAATGACAGCCCTTTGGTTAAAACCGGGGTTTCCAACGGTAGTTAGCCGATGATGTGACTTTACATGCTCTGTGGATTATTTTGATAAGGAAAAGGAGGAGGTTATTAATTCGTCGGAATATTTTTTTTATGTATGTATGTTACCGCATAACTTAGGACCACGTTAAGCGATTTCTATAAATTTTTTTAAAGGAAAGGGAATTGAAATCGGCTTTGTTTTTCGCTTAAAACTTACTTCTTAATATATTGCTAAGAAGCTGGGTATTTACCTCTGGAAATTACTTCCTTTTTAACAACGCTGTAACAAAATGCTGTTCCATTGGATCAATCAAAGATTTGCTGTCCATGATACAGCATACATATGTCAACTAATTGGGTCTGCTTAAAAAGTAAAATTATTTTTT